GAGTTTCTGGTGGAGTGTTTACCTTGAATTTTCATTTAGGGACAAGAGGACCTCTCCCTTAAAAGCTGCAGTGGATGAATAATGCATTATATTAACACAGAAGTCACTGCTGAGAATTTGTAAAAATGTGCAATGCTAAGATATTCAGACATTTGTAGGCTCTCCCATTACTTCAGTCTGTCTGGTAGAAACAGACAAGCAGTATTCTCTTTACAGCTTTAGACAGCTGGCTCTCCATCATGGTGTGTTTGTTGTCCTCCAATGATTGTTCAGCAATAGAAGAAACTCTCAGGAGATGAAATATCAGCCCTAAGAAAGTCTGAGGGAATGCATTTCATAAATATAAATGAATTTGGAGGCAAAGAAAAAGAAAACCTTTTCCAAACCTGGACTAAAAGGTTAAAGAATTCAACAGCAGAAAACCTAAGTGGGTATTAAATCCAAGACACTTTTGCTTTTCAAAGCTCAGTAATATTTCGCAGGCTAAAGCATTTACTTGGCCTCATTCCAGTATGGCCTATACTTATATATCTACACAAAATGCTTCAAAGTAAAGCTCACACTTAAATCTAAATGTTTCATAGACCTCTACACCATACAGACAAATGGCATCTTTGTAAAAATGTGCCGTGGTCTGAATATTTACAGAGACTTCACTGCCCTCTCCTGTTTAATGTGTCAGTAGGAGCATTTAACCATGAGGTGGCAGTGAAGACCCACTATGAATGTGGAAGGGAAGGGAGGCAGTATCAAAATCAGGATCAAGGCACTGATCATGAGTGGAGAGCACATGAACTAGACCTGTACTTAAATACAATTTTGAATCATTCATACTTTATTATGGGGCATTTACTTTAAATGCTTCTTTATCATTTTGCTCCACTACTTTCAGAGGGAAATATTGTTCTTTTTCTCCAATAGATATTTATGAAAGCTGTATTGAAATGCAGATTTTCATGTGATCAGCTCATAAAACATATACTGTTATATACTGTCATATCATGAGATTTACCCCACCTCAAGCAAATACATTAGGGAATGAACGGTAATGGGCATTCAGCCAGATAATGAGTACTTCACTTGTCATATTTGTGGTATATTCTGTTATATTACTTATTTACTTTTTGATAGTTTGACGTTTTACAGCAGGGTTATGTTCCCGACTGTTTATTGGCAGGGAATTGTTTTGTTGTGTTGCTGTTGATATTGTTAAACAATTTCAATATAAAATACTCATTAGTCTGTCTTTATACAAAGCTAAGCTAACTGGCTGCTGTCTGCAGTTTCATGTTTACCATACAGATATAAATGCTATTCATCTTCCCATTTAACTCTCTGTAAGTTATGCTAAACTATTTCACTGGTTTTCAGTTACTGTACTTATATTGGAGTATTTCTACTGTGTTTGTTGCTACTTTTCCTTCAATAAAAATCTGAATACTTCCGCCACTGGCACTCAGGTCTCCTGGCATCAAGGTTTTCAATTCAGTGGGATGGATACTAGTAAAGTACACATGCTGCTTATCAATAATAATAATATTATATATAATAATAGATATGATGTGTTAATTAGTGAGCTTCAGAGGTTCTGGCAGGTGAATGGAGTCTGGCTAGCTTTTTTCCCCAGTTTCCAGTCTTTCTGCAAAGCTAAGCTCACCAGTTGCTGGCCATGGCCTTAGCATAGCTAAGCATATCTAACTCTTTGCGGAAAGCAAATGAGCATATTTCCCAAAATCAATCAGACTGTTGCTTTAAGTAAGGAAAGAACTAATGTCAACTGGCAGTTACATTTTTCATTCCAGCGGGATTTAAACAAATAAATTAAGTTGGTTTATCTGGTTGTAAATCAATGGTCTATGGCCGACCAGCCGAGTGGTTAGGGCACATATCGTGGGCGCAGATGCCCTGAGCAGCGAGTCCCTGGAATGACCTGTGTCCTATCAAATAAGGGCACAAAAATGCCCCAAAATAATTTCAGTGGTCTAGCAGTTATGTTCATTAAGCCGATGAGAATATCAGAAGCAACATCCAGTACACCTGGTTCACAGATGAACACATGCACGGCCTTTAATAATCTCCATGGAATGTCATAGCACACATAACCATTCCCATTAACAGGATCAATATTCTCTTAGAATTACTTTGGCAGGCCGGCTGTCTCCAACACCTCGAGTGAACGTATTCTACAGATAGTGATTATGAAATTTCTCACCCACCTGTGAATTGTGTTATTTTACCTTTTGACCCCCCCGGGGCTTTGAAGAGTGATGATGTGTCACAGACTCTCACCAGAGCCAAACTCTTCATTCAGCCCTCCTCTGATATGGCTTAATAGACACGGAGGGGATCGATACAGAGGTGATAATGAATTAATCCCACATGATAAGTTATGTGCACACTGACATGAAATCTTTGGAGGAATCGTGGGTCTAACCAAAGGGAATTAACCTGCTGGAGATCAGGAGACTTAGGAGCACTTATAACCACAATAATCCGCTGACATCTTAAAAACACTTATCCACAGATCTGTCTGATAACGTCCAAAAGGTAACCTAGAGTCTGAGGCATGCTTCCTTCAAGGCTATTTCCCTGCAGATTGCTGAGCTGCCATTGCTAAACCAGCCTCCTGGGAAGGTTGTATAGACAGTAATATAAACAGCTGCATCGCCTACTGAGCTGAAATCTGAGTAATTTTCGTCGTCTGCCTTTTTCACTTGAGCCCATGCAGCTTCCCCAGGAATAACAATTCCACTAATCTGGACTAGTGTTGAGCGACTGCCTGAAGCCTCAGTTTGTTTATCTTTTTGGCTCCAGGACCTAAAGCGCCAGGGGGAGGCAGAATGCTAATCACGTTCATGTTAAATCATCAACATGTATGTCTCAGTTTGTCATTCCACAGTGGATATCCTGCAGATGGAGATGACTGCAGACAGTAGAGGACTTTTTTTCACACTGAGAGGCAGCTTCAGACACATGTCTCCCTCAGAGCCTCGATCTAATGTTACAGGTATTTACCTTCGGGGAGGAGAATTGCTACAACACCACCCATGGGTGTTGTGGTACCACCTGAGACCTCAGCCCCTTGTTTCTACACTGCGATGCTGTAATCTAACTGAGCAGTGTGAACCTTTATTTCCTCTCCCTGTCAATGAGGCGTGAGAAGTCAAGTGGATGCAGGTAGACAACAGAGAAAGAGAGAGAGAGAGAGAGAGAGAGAGAGGTGAAGAGACAGAAACACTGAGGCAACGTGTTTTGAGGAAGAGACACAGATTCAGATTTCCTGGTACTGAACATAGTGTTCACGTGGAAGTCAGCCAGTTTAAATAGTGTGCTACGGTAGTAAATAGCAGGCACAAATGAGCTGAAAAAGTGCAACAGAAGGAAACAGTGCAAATAGGCTGCAGTCATGCTGCGAGCATTCTGGAGCCGCCACATGAGACGACACACCATAACAATATTGCAATAAAAAATATTAAAGTAACTGTGTCCTTCTTTATGACATTTCTATCTCCTTCCATCACTGTAATAGTCCTATAATGGTTTACCATTGTGCTTGTAGGACTCAACAAGAAGTTTAGAATGGTCTTATTGTGTTTTATGGGATTACTTTTTTTTATCTCTTATATTACTAACTTGTAGTACTTGGCAGCTGAGCTATCTCTTTATGGCACTTTTATCTGTCACTACAGATACATTTAATATTTGTGTTTGTACTTACAGTGTGTGCATACAGCATGTGTGTTTTTTTAAATTATACTTAAGGACATTAATACAAGACCAGAATAATGTGAGAAAAACTGCAAAGTAAAAAGAGCAGCAATAATGAATGTGTTATTCGACTTATTAGACTATTTGCTCTTATCGACATAAACTGTCAGTAAAAACTACATCCCAGTGGTTTCAGTTTTTCCTCCATGATTCATTGTTGGAAATTTTGTCACAAAACAGCACAACACTCAGGAGTCCATCGTCATTCTGTCTGATTATTAAAGTCAAATTCACCCAGGGTAGAGTCAAATGTTTTAATGGTCTTCCAACCTTATGCAACATTTCGAGGATATCAAATGATTCAGGTGCAAATAATGGGATGGATTGTGTTACTTCACTGCTAGTTTTCTTTATAGGAGTAAACAATGCAACATAAATGGCAGTCGATGAGAAGTTTCCCTTTATTTTAACCCACACCCAGCATTGATGAGCAGTATGTAAATCAACAATGGTTTACAACACACTAGATAATTAATATGGAAGCAGATAGAAAAAGACCCATTTTCAAAAATACGTACTATATATATATATATATATATAGTATTATACACAGCACACAACACAGTTGCACCAACAACACCACCACACAATATAATACTATAATACTATAATTAAACCACATTAAAAGCCATAGCCATAGTTGTTTGTTTGTGTAACATATATATATATAGATATTAGTATATTATGTAATGTTTTAATGAAACATTTATTAAGTGCTTAGAAACTGCTTATAGATACAATTAAATAGATTAACAAATTATAAACAAAATCCCTTAAAACATCTTGGAAATGAGAAAAAAAAGTTTGTGGCTCCAGTGTGTCACCGTGTGACTTCACTGTGAGCTGTGCATGAGGCTGTAAGGAGCAGAGAGGCAGAGGCTGAGCAGTGAGGCAGGAGCAGGGCGCGGAGCTGCTGTAACACATCCTCTCTCTGCAAACTTCCTCTGACAACCGAGACTCCATTCACTTTATTTTGCTTTTATGGAAAATGTATTGGAGTTACATTTGATGATTTTGCAATATCAGAAATTGGATTTCATGGAGCAGAGAGGACAGTTTGGATTATATCTGGATTAATTGAAGTTTTTGGAGCATTTATAGACGGACTCTGGAGTTTGGACGCCGGGGCCCTTCAGTTTATTGTCATGATTTTTTAGTGATTTTTTTTTTTTTTTTTTGAATGCCAGGTGTAATTTTCATTAAAGCGCACAGAGCCACAGCCTCTCTCTGCTATGGAAAACATCACCATAGATAATATGACTGTGGGGAATGACACGTCGGTGCAGGACAATGAGACCCTGGGTGTTTGGACTGACTACACTGTTGAGTATAAAGTGGTCAGTGTGTTTTTGGTGTCCCTCATATGCGGGGTGGGGATCGTGGGGAATGTGATGGTCATCCTAGTGGTCCTGACCACCAAACATATGCGGACTCCCACTAACTGTTACCTGGTGAGCCTGGCTGCGGCTGACCTGATGGTCCTCACGGCCGCCGGGCTGCCCAACATCACCGACGCCCTGTACGGCCAGTGGGTGTACGGCTACGCGGGCTGCCTGGGCATCACCTATTTCCAGTACCTGGGGATAAACGCGTCCTCGTGCTCCATCACCGCCTTCACCGTGGAGCGCTACATCGCCATCTGCCACCCCATCAAAGCGCAATTTCTGTGCACTTTATCCAGGGCAAAGAAAATCATCATGCTGGTGTGGGCGCTCACTTCTGTCTACTGCGTCATGTGGCTCTTTCTGTCAGACACTAAAAAGTTGGTGTACGACAACGTGGTGCTGCTCAGCTGCGCATACAAAGTGTCCAGGAGTCACTACCTGCCCATTTACTTCACAGATTTCGCGGTGTTTTACGTGCTGCCTCTCATGCTGGCCACAGTCCTGTACGGACTGATCGCCAGGATACTTTTCCTGAACCCGCTGCCGTCAGATCCCAAGGACAGCACCAAGAAGTGGAAGAAGGAGACGAGTCAGGGTGGGAGGATGATCAGCGCCAGCTCCTCCAGCAGCACCACGGCTGCCTCCCGCAGACAGGTGGGCCACTGTTTGTTCACGAACATTATCAGTGTGTTATCAGTGTGTGTGAGAAGGGGGTCTATGGATCCAGCTGCACCACAGGTCAGGTGTAAATCCATAATTTCCTCCCATCAGAAACAAGTGAGTGATGTCATCCAGCTCCCCTGCTTCAATGTCTTCATTTATTTATTAATTAGGTTTTTATTTAAAAAAGTGGAGTAATGCAATGGTCTTAAATCCTGTTCAAACTGACCTTACAAACTAGAGCCATTTAAAAAAAATATTGATTTTGCAAAATCAAACCGTGTGTATGGTTGACCTCCACTTCCTCATTGTTTGCTGTCTCACAAACCACAATCTTAGAGCTGTAAAAACATTTTTTTCCCTTTTAAATACTGTTACTTTTCTTCAGGCCCTCAGTTTGCACACTCTTGACAAAATACAGAAATAAACATAAAGCAATGCAAGACAAGGACATATTTATGTTGTAAAGAACAAATGCATAATTATTTTTTTTTAAATGTCATTCACCAAGACATGTACAAATCCTACAAACAATAGTGTATAGGGTCATTTAAGCCTCTGAGATGTCGAACTTCCCGTTAGACGTCTTTTGAACAAATAATAGAAAGCCAATAGAGCCCTTATTTTGGAGGGGTTGTGTTGTGTATAAAGCACAGCCAACACCAATCACAACTCCAGAGTGTATTAAAAAAAAAAAAAACTCAATTCCATTTCATTTAACCACTCTGAGGTCTATGAGAGCCCAAACACAAGTAATGTGTAGTGGACTTCTGAAACATGTTATCAGTCCAACATCAGGATTATAAGCTGTTCACCTAAAATGAATAAAAGTGATGAAGTATGGTGGTGGTGGTGTGGTGATTAAACTATTTATGTGCTTCCTGAGCTGTTCTGTTTGGGATCTCCAAAGGTCAGCTGTTGGCATGTGTAGCTCTAATTAATGAAAATATGCACTTTCTTTATGCATTTAAAAAAAATAAGAAGAAAATGTCCAAACAGCTGAGTACAGAACATCAAAGTGCTGCCAGCTCTCAGTTACTTTCATATATCAAGTCTAATGAACTGCAAAATCACTTTCCACTTTTTCAAAACTCTGACGCATAAATATATAGTTCAGAAAAATGTAAATAAGAGTCAAACTAACCAAAGTGATAAAGACAACAGGGCCTTTTTGGAATCAAACTTGTTTGCATTTATGTGCAAGCTGCAGAAAGACAGATAAAGTCAATTTGAAATAAAAACACTCATATCACACATATTGTAAATTCAAACTGTCATATATAAGACTGTGTTTCATCCTTCTCTGACAGCATCTTCCTTTTGTAAACAAAAAAAATGTCTTATTTTGTTAAAAGACACACATGCAGTACATGCAGAGGTAGACGTTTGTTTATCAGATCACGGGGAGAAGCCTTCTCTTGGAATGACAGGGGGTGTGGTACCCTGAGGGAGCTCCATGCTCTATTGGATCTAATCAGTTAACCCCAACTCAAATAGGCTTTTGGCTTTTTCTCCATCAGTATGGCTTGAGTTTTTATCTTTGACTAACTCACACCCTCAACAACACAATAACATGTTTTTCTGGTGGTCTGCATTAATCGCTCATTGTGGACAAAAGGAACAATCCATACCATCCAACACGTACCTTACTGAATTAAACCAAAAGGTCAAGAAATAATGAGGATTGAGTATTTCGCTCACCAATGACACTGGCAGTGCCCCTATCCAATCCTATTAGACTCACCCCACTGCAGCCAAGACGACGCTACATAAATATAGATAAGATATAATTACGTAGTAAGTTTCACAGCAGGATTATCACCTGCTAATTATACGAACAAATCCAGGTTTTGTTAGGTTGTGCATACAGATGTGATCAGTCTTCCTCACTTGAAGTTAATCAACAGCAATCCGAATAAACAATGAATGGCTTATGAGATCGACAGTGGGGTGGTTTTAAAGTTGCATCACAAAATTTTCCCAAAGACCAGCTCCTCACAAAACATCGGCAGTTGTCTGTTCAAGTTGCAGAAGTTGCAAAGTGATGATGAAGATCACTTGTGAAACACATTTAAATCACACTCTTAATCACAATTTCACACATAAATATCTGTTGTATAATTCATATTTTGTACATTTACTCTATTCCTTAGTGAAATTCTGTATTGGGTATGAGTAGTCAGGTATGGGCCAGTTACATGAAACAACAAATCAAAATTATAGAGCAAAATGAAAACCTTCACCCTGATCAGCCTTGACTGTTGAGTAGAGTATAGACTGGACTGACCAGCATTAGACATTTGACTCTTTCTTCACGTTCAGATCCTTTGGGGGGAAAAAGGACCAGGAAGGCTGAGCCTGCTGCGTTGTAGTGTCCCTTGTGTCTCCACAATAAATCTCTTTTTAACCTCTTATGTTTGTTTTCCCCAAAATAGACTGAGAAATAGGCCAGCACTCCAGCAGTCATTTTCGTGGTCATTTTATTCACAACATGCAGTGTGACAAAGCTGCTGATGTGTTAGAGGCTTCATCAGAGGATGAGTGAGTTCTCTTTTTAAAAGAGTTCTCTTCAACAGGAAAACAGTTACACCTGTAAAGACAAGAAGATAAGCAGGATGCGTTCAAGAGTTCTCAGCTCAGATAATAAATGTGATGAAACAACCTCTATATCCAGAGTTTTATATGAATATTAGACTGTGGTACTGTCGTGTCAATGATTTCTGTACCAGGTTTGTCCAGCAAGAACATTTCTCTTGATACTGTGTCATGCAAATAACCAGTTCAACAAACTAATGAGGGTGACTCATGGTCTGCTTTTACATAAAGTTTGGCCAAAGGCTATTGTGTGTTTTAGTTCTAATTGCAGTTTTATGTTCAAACTTTTGTCACTTCAATTTTTGTTTACTTTTGCTGAGATAGATTTTGAAGCATGAGCAAGACAATATATTCATGAAAGACATTGTTAGAATCAAAATTAATGATTGGTCTGTGATAGTATTTCTAGCCACTGAGGAGACGCTAAAAGTCTTTGAGATGACTGAAATTGCAGATTTGTATTTTCAGGCTCATTGAAAGATTGTACCAGCGTGTCTCAAACAAGTTCCTACACTTAAATGACAATATGGGTTGTTTTTTACGAATGACTTACATCTGCCACCATTATTGTTAAGGTGTGGTTACCAATACACATAGTAAGTAGAACCTTCTTTAAATATTTTTTCAGAAACATGTCTAAAGGTTAATTTATGGTGTATTTGCAGTTACTGCAGTTACCACTTTTTAGGTCTGGTGGGCTTATAATGTCTAATGTGAGAACTTGTGATCTCGAATGCATCTCTCTGTGTGGATACAGGTGGAACTGTTTTCCTGCTGATTGCTGATTGTGTGACGTGTCCTTTAAAAGCAGAATTTACTGAGCCTCAGATGAAGCCTTCACATGAAAATGCTTCAGCAGGTGCTTGTAAATAGAATGACCAGAAAAATAAAAACTCTGAAATCAAGTCCCCCCCCCCCCATTACTATTAGACTGCAAAATTTTTCCTGAATAACTTTAGAGCAATCAAACATACTGAACTTTTTCTTTAAAGAAGAGCACCTAAATGAATATTCAGTGCAGGAGGGGTTTCCTCTTCAGTCACAGCATCAATATTTGAGCAGCAGTGTGGCTGCACCATGTTAATCTGATTAAACATACTCGAGTTGACTCAAGTGAGTCAAGTGCTCAGGTGGGAATGCAGCTGTGTTCACAGACAAGACACAGTCATTTGGTTAAACAAGACTAGGTCAAAACCTGGAATATTTGCATTCTGTTTACTTCTCTCCTTCTCTCTGTGCTCACAGTATTTTCATACAGCTGAGTTCCCAATAAAGCTGTTCTCACTTAGATGTTTTTCTGTTTCTGATCTCAGACAATACAACAAGAATAAAGTAGTGACTGAAATACAACAACTTTAGACTACATGTTAACTACTAGTCACTTCAAAGCCATTGTTTCCAAGCTGCTGCTCTGCTGCTAAAATCCTGATTTGCAAAGTCGTCTGACAAAATCACTGTACACGTGGTAAAGACGGTGAGAAAGTTAGAAGACTGTTCACATCAGCTGCCGTGTGGTCAGCATAGGGAGGTGTACCTGTGGAGGGAAAGCCTGCCCTTGTGCCCACAGGGCGATACTGGGAACTCGCTTCTACAGAAAGTAGCTAAGGTTTGTCCAAAAAGTCCCTAGATTTGCCACTAGGTGCTTATTTGATAAAAAGTCGCTAAAGGGGCCTGAAAAGAGGAATAAACAGCGACAAAGGTGCTAAGTTGGCAACACCGCTTGTTCCCACGAAATCAATTTGAAAGAGCAATGACCAGTGGGGAAACTCCCAACAGTCAGCCAACCAACCAATGGGCTAGTCTGTACCTTAACACTTACATTGTATTCAGCTGACCAATGGTGTAACTTCATCAGTCAGTCAGTCAGCGCAAAGACGAATGTCCTTATCCCATCCCCTCCTCACAGGAGTGCCCAAGCATCAATACTGGGACCCCCTCTCTTTGCAATATACACCACAACCTTGGGCCCATTATCCTTCTCATATCACTGCTGTGTTATTATGGCGCAGGGCCTGCAAAAAAAAACCAAATGATTTAATGAGTCAAGGCAAGTGAAAATATAATTTATTGGTGGACATGATGATTCCTTGTGCACCTATCACTGATCTTACTTATAATTCTTAAGATTTCAGTTCTTACTGATTTAGTGACACACATTGGTACTGCAGGTAACAAGTTCTGTTTAGTACTACAGGTCCCAGAATTCTTGCTGATCAGCTGTCAGCAATACAGTAAGAGTAACTGGTGTATCAGTCAACAGTGCAACGAAAGAAACTCAGAAATCAGTCTCCAATTGGCCCTTTTCCATCATGTCATGAGCAACTGTGATCTGATTTCAGGCTGCATATGGTGCCTGTATTGTAGTTTCCACACAACAGAATAGAGCACATTGAAAGTGGTTTCATTGCTGTAAAATTAGATGTGTGGAGCCTGTTGACTGCAACTCTTCATCTAACAGCTGCTACTCCCTTCAGTATTTAAAACACTGTGAAGAAATGAGAGTGAATGACTGTCTTGTTTTGTATGGATTCATTTTTGATGAGTGATCGTACTCGTAATGTCACAGTAACATCTGTGGCAAGTACACTCTGTTATCTGTGATTGCTTCACAATAAAACCTTCCCTTTGTTACACCAGTTGAATGCTTTTATTGTAAAGCAGGAGCAGGAAGTGTTGTGTTTGGTTAACAGTGAGATTGATATCAATAAGATAACAATTACAAACAGCAGTGCTGGATTACGTATATGCATCACTTTCTGCGATTATAACTTTAAGGATGGGATTTTTTCATTTTTATGGAAGACATTTTGACATATGTCACAGTAGGAAAACCACAGGCAAATAAGAGTAATGATGGCTGAATTCCATTTAGTGTAACACAAACCGTGGTGGACGAGAGAAGCTGAAAATGTAGCTTTTCTGCATGTGTAAATCTTGTTGAACAGGTGGTGTGATGAAGGACGCTCGTAGCTTTTTTACTCGCAAAGGTTGTAATGACACTCACAGAGTTACGACCGTAGTTGTTGTCAGCTCCGGTAAAAAGTTCACTCCTCTGTGCTGTCAGCTGTGTGCGAGAGGCTGCAGCATGACACCAAAGCACGGTAGAGTTTTTTTCCGGTTCATGAGGCTCAGGGCTGCGCCTTGAAAACCCTGTGTGACTGCATGGCTTGTAAAAATAAAAACATTTTTCTCCTTCCTCGTGTTTCAGTCAGTCTTTTGCGATGTGTTTATTACACGTCATGTTCACATCATGATGATGATGAAAATACGATTTCAGCACTAGTGCTTGCTGGCTTACTGTCATGCCTTACTGGTAGTATGCAATATCTGCTGTGAAAGTCTTAAGACCATATGTGCCTTGTGCTGTGGCTAATGTATATTCATTGTACATGAGAAACCTCAAATTCAGTGAATCAACCAGTTTTCTGTGATTTGATTTCATTAGGTGACCAAGATGCTTGCTGTGGTGGTGATCCTCTTCGCCTTACTGTGGATGCCCTACAGGACCTTAGTGGTGGTCAACTCCTTCTTGGAGAAGGCCTACCTGGACACCTGGTTCCTGCTCTTCTGCCGTCTCTGCATCTATCTAAACAGTGCCATTAACCCGGTCATCTACAATGCCATGTCCCAGAAATTCCGTGCTGCCTTTAAGAAGCTGTGTCACTGTGGCCCTCAGCGCATGGAGAAACCAGCTTCTTACAGCGTGGCGCTCACCTATAGTGTCATCAAAGAGACGTCCAATGGGGAAAGTCCCGACCACTTCACTACAGAAATGGACGAGCTAAACACACCAACAGATCAATACCTACCTTCCAGCATCCTGCCCAACACAAAGAGGATGCCGTATGAGGAGCCTTCCCTGTCTGGAAGTGATGTCAAAGCCTGACTAAAAACAAACGCACTCCGCTATCAGAGAGTCTGACAGCTGCAGTATTGATTCAGTCACCCATTGGACAAGTTTTATTTAAGTACACTGACACCTCCAGTTTAATTTCTCTAAGGTGTTTTCTCTCAGAAATGTTTCTTTTGTCTGACAAGCACATTTCTGCCATATAGGTGAAAGCAGTTATCATGAGCTCTCTACGATATGCACAGCACTGAAGAGGGAGGAAAAAAATCCTGTTCAATGTAAAGAGCCGGATGTGATGCATCGAACCCTTATGATAAAATGCAGAGACACCTTTCTATAAACATTAACTTGTTACAGGAAAAACTTGCATGAGAGCAGTTTGTCATCAAGTTCATCCTACAGTTTTATGACTGGTTTGGTTAAAATAGACCAACTCCCCATCATTTCTTCCTCTCAAGTCTAAACAGAACCAGACCCTGTCAAATCAGAAGTGGATAATTTAGGGCTGGGTGACGTCAATATTTAGCATAAATGAAATTACTACTTCACCACATCCTGCTGAGTGTAAGATTAAAATTCCCCATTAGAGTGCAGGACAAGAAATATCACAGCCTAAGCACATATGGTGTTAAATACGCAAAGGCATATTTAGTTAATTCAACCAACCTCGTTACCTAATTTGGGAAGGACGCTATCTGTTTCTAAAAGACTAGTTTTGGGCAGTAAGACATTTTAACATGTTACATTAGTTACTTATCCCATTAGGGCTCTGTTACATTGACAGTTTGCAGGTGGATTTTGGAGTCTGATAGAAGGCTGACATCAGTTTGGTCACTGTGCGTTAGGTGGACTGATCCGGTACGTGCTAGCTTGGTTGGGGGCTGGAGATCTGGGGACACGTGTAGAAAAAAGAAACTCTCAAGTCATCTAATTTACATTATTTTTTATTTTTTTTGTAAATGGCAACATATTAGCTGTTTTTCTAATGGCACCCACTGAATAAAGCTACACTCAGAAATCAGCTGGTTTTGTTTACAGTTGTGCAGGAGTGATTGAACCATGCAGCTTCACTGTGAGGACGGGACCTCATGCAGTCATTGTTAACCTAGATGATGATAGTGAGTAAATACCTACAGACCGTAGGCTGGCTGTTTGTCAAACCACACTGTCTTATTTCCTTTATTTATTTTTACCATCTTTTTTCCGTGTTCTTTTCCTACACGTGTTCCATACATAAGATGTAACGTGTGTGTGTGTGTGTGTGTGTGTGTTTGTGTGTGTGTGTGTAATTACTTTTTCTGTTGAGTAATTAGTAAAGTAACTTGGTCACCTTTTACCTGAGTGATTTGTATTGAGTAAATGACTCATTTTTTTTCAAGTAACTGACCCCACACTGGCTATGACCAGTTAGAAAGAGCTTTGTTTCTGTGTTGGGATGCTGTCTCTGACTTACCAACATTTTTTTTTACGGTGATCTGTTTATATTGTTTACATTGCCCAGCCCTAGAATATCATAATACCAACTCAGCTGTACCCAGGTTCTTTCACATTACTTGTAGCAAACGTATTTCCTCTTTGCTCATGTACCTCCCCACCAGAAGCCATGTAATCCAAATGAATCCAAATGCGCAACATCGTGACATTTTCATCTCACCACCACAGAGAAAGCACAGACACGGCGTAACATGACCTTTTTTTAAAAAGGTCCGAGCAAAGAAAGGGGCAGATATTACAGATACTCACTTTACAACCTCCTGTGTTATTTAAAAAAAAAAAAAAAATCATCTGAACGCTAATGATTTCTGCAGGGACTTAAGTCTTAACAGTGACAGACACACCAAAGCCTTATGTTGCTTTGGTCACTGTGAAGATGGGCCACTGTGGACTCTCTGTGAGGAGCCTGTGAAGGTCAGTGGCCAGTGTATAATAATGAGGGAGACATGTGTAACCCTGATGTGCAGACAGAGGGGCTGTTCGTCGAGGGGTCAAATAACTGTCGTGGCAGTAATTCACAGATATTGGCTGGGATTGCAGAGTGCAGCACTTTTCTGTGATTTATCTGCTCAGCAAAACCCACAGAGCAATGACGGAATGTGTAAATAGATCACGACAAAGTGCCATACACAAGCTGGTGCAATTCAGTATGTATATAGCTCACCCTGCTATTAAAAGAATTTCCTGCTGTTTCTTTGAGCTACGTATATGTGTAAATTGAAGAGCACTCAGAGGGAATGAATATTGAGCAAACTCAATGAAAGGAACCTGTTCCATACTGAACAGCAGGCTTTTTTTGTCTATATTGTAAACTTGGCTGAAATTGATTGTGCAGTGTAATGTGAAATTAATTCAATATTGTGTTTTCAAATGTGTGCCAGCAAGTGCATTTTTAAAATAATGGCTTATTTGATCCCCTGTTCCATCAGTGTGTTTTCTATCATTTCACACCATTCAGTGGAAGCTAAGTGGAACATCTGAGAAAATATAGGTGTTAGTTAATATAGTTTTGTAGCATAAAGTACCTCTAATTTGTGCACTTTTATTCATTTCTGCCTTTGGTCTCAGTTGAAACGTATTTCATTTTTTGGGAAACTACCATGCAGTAGTGATGGAGATGTTCTCTGTTCTGCACGGCATGCTGTTTCCAGCATGAGCACAAGCTTTTGTGATGTGAACACAAAGATGACAAAACCTGATACCTGATGTATTTCCAGCTGAGGCGGCGCTTTATGCACATTTCTGTCTCCAGGTAGCGTTATTCTGCTGTTGCTGTTTGATGGATTGTTTTGTATTTTGTATTGTTCTTTGTCTATAATAAACACAATAATTGCAGCACCTTGTGGCTGGTTCATTATTGCTACATCTTAATGTTTCATACTGTGAGTTCTTTTGTTCCCAACCCTCAACACTTCAGCCACTACTGATCTACTAACCAGCAGCCATTGAAGAAACCATCTCATCCGAGAGGCTGCCATGAATAAGCCACAGACAGCTTCTGTTTGAGCAACGGCCGCACTGAGGACATCAATCAGAGGGGTTGATGGCTTTGTTTTGAAGTTACTCAGCATGTGGCGGCTCGCTTCAACACAAATCTATCATACTGAAGCTATCAGAGGCCAACTGTACTCAACACAAACAATATGACACGCCTGTGCAATTTGTGTTTAGCTGCTGTAGGTAATGTCACTCCAAATATCTGACTCATCAAACCTCCCTCAATTTAGTTAAGTGATAATCCTAACACTTGTGTCTATATATTATAGTAATTACCAGTGCAGTGTTCTGGAGCTGCAAAGAGCTTAATGTGCTGGGAGTGTCCTTGGAACATGCAGGCATTAATTGAAACTGCTGTAACGGTTCATCAGCTGCGTGAACTCCAGCCTTTAATTTAATGCCACACTTTGTATTTTCAGGCTGCAACCTGTATATACACTAATACCTCTCGTAGTTTTCTCCACATGCACTGCTGATAGAAAAGTGGGATTTCTTTTGCAATCACAAATTACAGTATATATGCATCTAAATGCCCACAGTCACAAATATAACACAGGATACATGTGAATGACTTGACTTGGCTTTTCAGTTCATATGTGCACTCGTCCACATGAAATGGCAATAAGATTAGTTTTCCAATACACCAGCGAAGTTAATGGAAACATTCAAATGTCGTCAGAACCATGTGGCGACACTAAAATTCATCCTGAGACACAATATGAGCCCAACGAAAATCGGGTTCAACAGTTACTTGTTGTATCTTGTATACTGTGTCATCCTCTATGACATTAGATTTATTTCAATTATTATCATTATATAATATTTTTTTTCCTCAAAGTCCTTGTTCGCCTCATGCTGAATTATAATTGTAATAACTTTAGTAATCTTCTTGTTTTCCAAATTTTAGTTTTTCTAATACAAATACCTAAAGACATCTCTCTCAGCCTCAGCTAAACTTTGTGTTTAAGGCTAATTGCATACTAGCATAGTAAAACACTAAGCCAAAATGTTGTTTATACCTGTTAAAGAAAAGCATGTTAGAGTTGTCATTGAGAGCATGTTGCCATGCCGAGTTTAGCACTGAGCTCAAAGCACTGCTGTGCCTAAGTACAGCCTCATAGAGCTGTTAGCATGGCTGCACACTCTTAGCATTGTTTCTCTCATCTAGTTTCTACAGTGTGTTCCATGATGTTGACCCAGAGAACTCCTCCATGCACAACTGTAAATGTAATGATGCAACAGATTTATTTTAATTTCATTGAACTTGTGGCCTTTGAGTAGGAACATTATAGCAGTTAAATCACATATGTGTGCTGCTCACCCACTCACCCTGTTTCAACCAACTGTCAGAGAAAATCACAGACGGCAACCTTTTATACCAAAAGCTCAGAGTACAGGCTACATTTCCCATTCACATTTCTGTTGACATATTGAAGTTCAAAGGTTATGTAACTTATGGTGCTGTTATTGGTGCTTTCATTCAGAAAAGTATTTGCCCTCAATATTATACTCAATCGCTTATTCTCTTGACCTTTAAGTCAAAGATCTACAGATGTGATTTGTATTGCTCTCTGCAAAAAAAACATTGAACAATTGAATAAAAAAAGTCATTGATCCATTAGAGAAACAGGTGAGCAAGACTTTCCAGTTAGTAGAAACATGATGTGAAAAATGGACACTCTTCATTGTGTGTCCAAGTCAAGATTGTTGAAATGCAGGCTCTGATACAATACTTCACAAAATGGGATAAAGTCATATTGATGTAATAATTACAGTTTTCTTAAACTATTAAACCATGTTCACTCACTAGATTTGGACAAATCGATCAAGATATTAGAAATGAAAGCCAGTGATACAAAACAAAAGCTGAGACTGATTTGGCAAAGAGTTAGAGATCTAAATGTGTGAAAATGAGCCACTGAGCAGGGCTTGAGTGGTCGGGTGGATGGAAAATCAGAATTATAGCCTCAGCAGTGGGCAGCTGCACCAATGAAATGGCCCTGGCTCTATGAACCTTATTTCTTTGCCTGGCTCTGCCTCTCAGC